TTGTGAAGCTCTCGTCATTCATCACTAGTCCTAATAAAGGCATCATCTCATACTGTCTGGCTGAGTCAGATATCAAACATGATGTAAATATCTGATTTTTAGCGCTATTTAGCAGGCAAAATTTTTTTTTTCGATAGTGCGTTTGACTTTCGTCAAGATGTAATTAAATATCATACACGTCCTCTTGCACAACAACTTCTAGCTGATTATGATCAGAATAAAGTAGTTATTATACTGGATGGCACGTACATTTACATTCAGAAATCTCAGAATAATATACTTCAGCGACGTACGATTAGCTTACACAAGGGTAAACACCTTGTCAAGCCCATGATGATTGTCAGTAGCGATGGCTACATCATCTCTGCTCTTGGTCCGTTCTACGCTGATGGTAAAAACAATGACATCGAAATAGATTTATAATAACACATAGGGCTTTACCGATTGGCTTAAACCTGGTGACGTGGTGTGTGTCGATCGTGGGTTTCGTGACTGCCTTAATGACCTACACAGATAGGGCTACAACACCAAAATGCCATTATTCTTGAACAAAAATCAAAAGCAATATACAACTGTTGAAGCTAATCAGACAAGAATGATCACCAAAGTACGTCGGGTGATCGACTTTGCAAATGGACGCGTTAAGCAATGGAAATTCTTCAACAATGTAGTTCCAAATACGATGATAGAAAATATTGGCGATTACTTTGCGACAGTATGTGCACTAATTAACTGCTATCGATCAGTGTTCGTTCGTGACACAAGACACGATCGAGAAATTGGTGACCGAATTATTGCATTAGCTGATGAAACAAACAAAATGAAGACTTATATAGATAAATTGAAAGATAAACAAGAAAAACTAAAATGGGTGCCAATGAATGCAGCTAATGTAATTAACGACTTTCCGAAAATGACATTTGATGAATTACAAGAACTACCATTAGGCTGTTATCAGCTTAAACAGTCGAAGGCCTATACAACCGAGCACTTAGGTCAAAACGGTAGCTTTCTAGTAAAAGTTACAGATCAAAAGCAAGATTTATTACGAGCACAAATACAGTCAAGACATAACAATGCTGTTAAATATGATATTTATATCCAGTACAACAAGAAAAAAGTTCTCGAATGGTATTGTACATGTCCAAACGGATCACGGTTGTTGGGTGTTATGCCCACATTGCTTCAGTGATCTACTATTTATCGTATGCTCGCTACAACACCAACCAGCTGCAACCTCGATCATCAAAGTATTGCACTTTATTAACCGATGCGCAAGACTTCTGATGTATCGGATACTGGAATTACATCTGAAGATGAAGAAGATTCCAACATACTTTATCAACTCGGCTAACTTTATTCCTCTTTCTCAATATCGAACTTCGACTTCTTTCTGCCGACTTTGGACACTTATAACCTGACTTTCATTTCGACTAATTCGATTTGATCGAAAAACCAGTGATATCACAAGTATTTCATGATTTTGACCATGTTTCGCAAATTTTGATGATGTTTCGTAACCTTTTTTAAACTTTGGGGCCAGATTTGAAATTAGCGTGAAAAATTGAATCGATCAATGTGTCCCTCTCAACTGATGGAGGCTTGGTTATGGCTTAAAAACGGTGATGAAATGATGAATTAGTCTAATTTTGGTCAATTTTTCAGTTATTGGCCAAAAATTGATGCAGAAGTGATTATTTTCAAACTCCTTTGGCATGTTTCGAATAGAGTGAACAATTCTACACATGTCTGAGTGGTTTTCAAGGTTTCAGTTCTCACTTGAAAGCCAGCTGATAGGTCAAAACTGAAAAAGGTAAAAAATGCCTCTTTTCAAAAATCATTGATTTGTCATCCTCCTTGACGTTTTTAACTAAAATCAAGGACATATTTGGGATCAGCGTCGAATTCTGATTCTAGTGATGTGTCTCGCATCCATTTTTGATAAAAAGTTTTTTCCAGTGTTCCTGAGGTCCCCCTCAGCCCTCAAAATTTTCGAAAAAATTAAAAGTGGCTTTTTGGACAAACTGAATCGACCATTTTGTTCAGTTTTTGACGCTGATTACAGTCATGTAGTTTTTCCTTGAAAATTCTTTAGGATGGAAAATCCACTTACCCAGACTTGTCCTTTAAATAAAATCTCTGTTAATAGGCGAAAATACATCGGTGGCAGAGCTGGAACCGGTTGAGAAACGGTAAACCGATCTGATCCAGCCCGTCTGAACGTGTAACCGGGCCAGTTGGAATTATAACTCAAACCGGTGAAAAATTGGTAGAATATCGGCGAAAAACCGGCGAAGTTTTTTGAAAAAGGATTTCAGAAAGAAAGTGTGTGAATGATATGAAAGTTCTTTTCTCTATGTTTCAGCGATATTGTTAAAATTGTACCTTGTTTGAGTTCCTTCCCCTCACAGTATCTAAAAAAGCTTCTCAATATTCTACTGAACCTTCAAAGTACTATATTACAAGTTTATTGAGAGTACAAGCTTGAGCTTTAGCTTCAATTTCTCTACTTTGTTTCTGGACTGTTACGTAGTTCTGGAAGATATACTGTCAACATCAAATTTCTCTCTGTCTTTCTAGCTGTGTACTTGTACGTTTACGTACAGGTGTTCTTCTCTCTTTTATTTGCCATTTTTGATCTAAAAATTTTAACCATAAATAACTTAAAGTTGTTAAATTTGACGATGAGTGATAACAGATCATGAAAAACGGTTAACCAGTATGGCTGAAGTTGCGCACTCGAATTCTCGACCACAAAACAATCGATCTTACTCATTTTAAGTTTTTATAGAGGTTTTCATATATTCTGCATCGATCTATTCAATTTCATTTCAATAATTTCGAGAAGACATGTTGGTTACCAGCCAGGATCCAGCATTTTTTTGTTCGAAAATGGCTTGAAAAGGCTGTTTTGTCTCTTATCATATGTGAGAAATGGAAACACTTTTAATTTAACAAACAGTATTGGTAGCTTAAACCATAAATGAACATCATTACTTGATGTTCTAAATCGATATTTCGAAATACGAAATGAAGATTTCAGATCGCCAATTTTTGTTGTTGAAAGTTCATGTCTGTGCGTTACCTAATGTTCTGTCAATCGCTCACTCATTTTTCAAGGTATCAATTTTTTCTTTTTGCAGAAAGATAGTCCTAACTTTCAGCTACAATACCGCCTTTCGCGCACTTGATTGTTGTATATTCATAACGTTCGATATGTACATTTCCACAATTTAGTTTTCGTAAAGTTTTTACTTGTTCTAATTAGTAATGAATATTAAAATTAATCAAATATTTACATTTCATTATTTTTCACAACACGTGTAGCTTTCAAAGCAAAAAAACAACAATATACAGTTTAAGCAATGCTCATTTTAATCCCCCATATTCTTGCAGGCCCCTATCTTACTATGATATTTTGTAGAACGGGTAACTCCAGCTCTTTTACACGGAGAATGTTTTGTTGCACATTTACTTTTACAATCACACATTGTACTACTAACTGATCCTCTAGCAAACAATTTACATGCTTCAATGAAACTTATATCATTCAATTCACCAATTTTCAGTTCATTTAAAACTTGTGGACAAGAAGATTTTAATTCAACAAAATGATCAACTGAGAATGAATTTTGTAGTACACCATATTGACACGCCAATTTAAAAACAGTGAAGTCACTCATTTTATTTTTTTCAATAACAATATAAGGTAAAAGTTTGGGATCCATGTTAGTACGATCGGCAGTATGAATTTGGACTCCACGCAGAGACGTCTCATTTGAAAGCAACTTTTTTGCACTATCAAACCAGAAATACAAATAGCACAAAATAATTTCCTTAAAAATATTTTATTAAAAGACTCTATAAAAGGTCTCCAAAACCCTGGTTTTGAGGAGAAATCTTACAAACATGCCGAAATGTTTTACTGGCAGGAACTGATTTAACTGTGTTTTTGAGATTTATACCACCTCCAGAGCTGGATTTCGCAAATATTCCGTTAGAGAAAACAATAGATATTATCTGTAATAAATTCTATTATACAGATCCTAAGTTAAGAGACAGTTCATCAGGCCATCGAGAAGAATCATAACAAGCCGAATTTTTTCCTCAAAATTTAGAGATGAGATGAACGACTAACGTTATACTTTTTCGTTCTCTTTGTATAACGTCTCACGAAATTTCTTCTCTTTTCTGTAACGTTATCCATATATAGTAGTGTTTCATTTGAATGAAAGGAAAATGAATAACGAAACTTTTACTTTCATTCATTTCATATACGTGTTTTCTTTTCTGTCTGTCTATGCGTTAATCGTTTCAAAAAAATCGTGAAAGTTGTGAAAGGCACATGTAAGAAAGGGGGTATTCTCGTTTCGTCGACAAATCGGCCACTTCAAAGAATATAGATCAGAGAACATCAGAGGCAGGAGGGGCGGTGTGAGAGTGAGTTGTCGACGAAACAAGAATACTTCGTAAGAAAGAAGTCATAAACTCAAGTAGCCTGTTATTGTTTTAGGATTATTCGCCTGCGTTTAGTCTTTTTCGTTCTTATGACTCACCCTTTTACATGTTGCCTGAAATGTATTGATACACTATCAAAGAGTATGAAATAAAACTTTCACTTTAATGAAAGTGAAAGTAGTGAAAGAAAACAGTATAACGTTATTCATTTGTCTCGTTCCATAGTCAAACGTTAGACATATATAGAAAGGAAAGAAAAACCGTCTACGTCTTGCGAAATGTGTGAACGATAGTGGTTTCTTACGAACGCCATCTCATCTCTACTCAAAATATCCTCATTAGATTCCCCATACAAAATGATGTATAAAACCAAATTTTTTGTCAGCAAACAGAGATGGACAAGTTTTACACTTCCCAGGTAAAGTCCATATTTATTTCAAAGCAGAACACTCTGCATTGTTTTTTCAACATCTTTCGAGCATAGACGTGCTGTTCTCACTATAGTAACTCAACGAACACGGGTGGATCCGTCTGAAGAATTTTGCTTTTGGTTATCGTATATGTGAGGGCTTATTAACTACGCTGATCATCATTGTATATTGTTTTCATATCATAAAGTTTCAACGAGTGATACCCAAATTAGATATAAAAGTGAGAACTTGAATGTTTTTCCTTTCTTACAATAAAATAACATAAAGTCCCCCGTCATCGGTTCTAAATCAGCTCATAGTTGATTTGAAAAGGTTTCACATTATCCTTCAAAAAGCCTCCTTCATATCGGCCGACGTATTCGGATGATCGAAGTCGAGAAACTCGTCTCGTTACATGTATATATCTGACCTCTATACAATAAAGATCTGTCAACTTAGCTGTGTCATCAAATGTTTTACAATATTATGTTTGAGATCTATAATTATTAATGTACAATGCTCAGGAAAAATAATAACAGTAATACATAAAAGGAACAAGCAACAACCAACACATCGTCCAACTGCATTGTATTTCAAAATTTGAAGACAAACAAGAAATTTTAATTCTTCCTCAGACGATATTTTCCGTTATGAAATTGAAAAGTCTACAGATGGATTACAAACAGTACATTTACAGTGTTATGATACAGCTAGTGTTCAAGTTGAAATGTGAGAAGATCGATACAAAAGTTATATCGACGCATTTTTTTCTGATTAACATTATATCCGTTCTTATTTCAAGACTACCATTCAAAACTAAAGATTCTAGAAGTTTTGCGATTTTTATATAACATAGTATAGACAAACAGAATACCTGAAATGAAGAGAGTTTTATCCGAAGGACTAGATGGAAAGAGATAACGAGTATACGTTCAGATAAAGCAATGACCAGCAATTACACTATACATGTATGCTTTGATCGGATCATATTTTAGTTTATTCAGCCTGTCTACTAATATGTTTTTATCTAATGAAAATTTTTTTGTACCTTTGTATATTTTATCTGGAAGATATCATAGTCTTTTGCGAATGATATCGCATACTCTCGCCTTACAAAATTTCCGCGTTTTAATAATCGCTTCACAATTAAATAGTTTTTTTTTTCAGTTCTTTAAGATTTTCTTCAACACAAAGTTTTTGTATTAATTTCAGCAAAAATATCGTCAAATGCTTTTTTGTTTTCAAACGAATTGAATTTCAAAATAGACATACAAATTATTGAAACTTATGCCTAATCATTATACTAACTGATATTGTTTCGCGATATACAGGTGCCGGTTTCAGTAACTTTTCGATGGATTGTTCATTAGTGAAGATTGATGAGTTTACTATTTTCATATGACGATCATTGCTGATTAGATCAATGAAAAGCATAATTCGATTCGATTTGCTCGGATTTCGCTGTCGATAATAAGGAATTGTAGTAGTAATGGGTTGAATACTACCTGTTAGACAGTGACATCTTTTAGTCCTTCCTCTATTTAATGTTCTCTTTCCTTCGTTGCAGAGATGTCTTATTTTAGTTGACTGAATCTGACTCGTTGCTGACGTGCCTTTAAGGCTCGTTTTCCATCGTTATCGGCTCTATATATACAGAGTGCGAGATTCTTCGTTTTAATAAGATTGTACGTACAGGAGAGGAGTGCTATTTTTTTGTTGTCCCCCTCACCCCTCTAATTTAATAATAAAAAGATCCTTTTTTTAACCAGAGGTCGGATCACGTTAAGGGCACGTAACGGCAGGTGAGATATTCTAAGTGGTGCACAGGCGGGCTTTGTGACAGATTCTATTCGTCAAAAGTCGGACCCGTTGTCGGAGAGTTTTATGTTATTGCATTTAGTAGCGATAATACGTTTGTTATTAGACATTATTGTATCACTTACATGAATACGCATTCGCACAACCTTAGATCACGGTTACAACAAGATTTATTCGAATTATCAACGAAATCGTTGAGAATACCTTTGTCCATTTCTTCAACTACAAAATCTGCTAGGCAGCAACCTAAGTTAAAAAGGAACGCTGAACCTCGGAGGACATTGGTTGCTAAGATTGAACAAGCGCCGATTCTTGATACTGAAATACGAACAATTATGAACTCTGAAGAATTGTCAAAAACTGTTAAGCAAGATTTACTTTTTCATAGTCCAGATAAGTTAAATAGAGTAAATTTGGAGCAACAATCAAGGTCTTCGTTATTGGTTATGAATGATAAGGAACATCAACGACATGATGAATGTCAACTTGAAAAGGAAGCAGTGGTAACTGATAGTATACTGAATGATGGTTTACAGGAAAATGGTGACCAAAAATTGAGTAATGGAATTGATAACTCAAATGAACAAATTGATTCCCCGATAACAACAGTATTGGATAATGATAAAACTGAATTAACAGATATACCACATGGGACACAAGAGACGTTAACATCAATATATTTACGAGATCATTTAGAATTAAGCGAGATATCTATGTCTGATGAAAATTCGAAGCTACATGTTAAAGATTGGTTATGTGATGTTATGATACAATTAGACGCACGAGAGTATCCGAAACGACGGTGGGCAAAGTTAGCGGCACAGTGTTTGGAAGGATTATTTAAAGAATGGTATTGTGATAATATAGATGTGATCGACAGTTGGTCTACATTTAAAGAACTATTAATTCAGCAATGTGTATTACTTACTTCAGGCGTGACCGTGTTAACAACACAACAACCATTAAATAGTGAACTAAAAAATATTCATCATTTGAATTTGACCATGCATTGGAACAACAACGAATGGTGACTGGTAACAATCAATCACATGTGACTCCATCAGATGAAATAACTTCACCCTTAGTTAGTGGCCAATATTTGACACGACAGCATACTTCGTCGTCTCATCCAACCATCAAAAGCAAAGCTATGCAACAATATTCGGATCCAATGCTAACAAAGAATTTAACGCCTCAACAGCAACAATCATCGGACAATCCTGTAATGGCAACAAAAATAAATAATAATAAAACAACATCGTTAGATATTAATAAAATTGCTCAGAATGTGTGTAAATTTTCTGATGCACAAGGGTTTGTGGATGCTTGGAAATGGTTGAGTGAGGTGAATAACATATTCGATGGGTTACGGTTTAATTCAATACAAAAGCAACAAATGGTGGATAAAATATTAAGTGGTAGTGCTCTCAGATGGTATCGTAATAATAGCGAAAGAATGAAAGATTGGAATATGTTCACGAACGAATTTGTACACAGATATGTTTTACAACAGCCACGAGATCAACAAGATAAACTAATGGAACAAGAATTGCTGAATAGCCATTCAGATATAAGGTTACCTGCTCAAAAAAAGCAGCAACAATCATCGAACGATCCTGGAGCCTTTGGTATTAGGCCCACATTTGTTTCTATGAACCATAGCCATCCAGCGAATGTAGGAGCGAGACAACATGCAGTAACAATACCACCGAGTCAACAAGTAATGATTAATACTTCGAATCCATTGCACGATATGAAAGATTTTGTTAAACCGTTTTATGGGAGTTCGAAAGAAAATGCAAAGACATGGCTAGATGATGTTATTCATTACTTTGGTGTTAGTCAATTATCAGGTGACAAAGATCAACAATGTCGCTAATATGCTCCCATTTTTTTAAAAGGACAAGCATTTGAATGGTGGAAATTACAAAGTAAAAACTTGATTGATTGGACATCATTTAAAAAAGAGTTGATACAAAAATTTCCTCCACCACTAGAACAAGCAAATGAAGACTTGATTCGGCAACAGCGTAAGCCAGGTGTTGATGAACCAATTCTTGATTATTATTATGCTATGATGCATTTGTGCGATAAATATGATGTGAATATGTCGTAAGGATAAGGTGAATAAATTAATTGATGGTCTCAAAATGACATTATATGAACAAGTTATTAAAAAAATATTAGAATGATTTTGACGCCAGCTGAATTATTAACGAGACTTCAACAAATGGAATATGCTCAAATAGCAATTGATACTAGAAGAAATCAATTGCAATATGATGATTCAACCAATGATATGGTAGCATCGATGCCTTTTCATTCAGGTCGTCGATAAAATAATAACAATACAAATTCTTATTCGTCACAACCAACATATGAACAACGTCAACTTTCAACATCATCTTATCATTATAATAATCGACCACAATATTCAAATTCGAATCAATGGCAACAGGAACCACATATGTCTAAGCGTAGTCATATCGTTACACGAAGTCAACCGTCGTCAGTCTCTGTGCCACCGAATGAACCATATTACAATCAAAATCGGGATACACAATTTTATAGTCAAAACTCTCAACAAATACAACGTCGACAGTCGTCTAATCAATGGTCAAATAATTACTGTTATGTATGTAATCAACCTGGTCATTTTGCAAGAGATTGTCGCCAGGCACAACATTTAAACGAGTAGCAGAGACGCCTGATGGTAGCGCCTCTGCATTAGCCTTAATAAAACCATCACCATTGACTTTTATTACGGCGCCCGTCAATGGCATTCGAATCAAATGTATGCTGGATACAGGTGCCACCAACACGTTTATTAATAAATCAATATTAGATAAACTCAGGCATAAACCGATTCGAAAAGTTATGAATAGTTTCATCTTGGCTGACGGTGGAACGCGTATCAAGATCAATGGAGCGGTTGAAATATATATTAAAACTGGATATATAACAACAAAAATTACGGCATTAGTATCATCTACATTATGTGTGGGATGTATTTTAGTTAAGGATTGGATTGAGCGTTATAGAGTAGATGTTTCGGAATATGATAGGAAGGTGACAGTGCACATGAATAAATCAACGGCATCAATTAAAATGGATGATGATACGGATAAACATGTATTTGCAGTGAGAGCGGCTAGTTCGATTATATTAGAACCACAATGTGAGCGAATTATTAAAGTGATTATGCCAGTGTCGATAGCGAAGGCTGCACTGTTTCAACCGAAAAGGACTTTCCAAGAAGAAAAATTAGTTGTCATGCCGCATGCATTGTTGTCGATTGAAAATTATACGTCCTATATAACTATTGCTAATCCAACAAATAAACGCTGCCTGATACCATATAATACAAGATTAGGAGTAGTGTCAATTCAAACAGCTGAACTTCACTGTTATGCTATTAATCCAGAAACGAGTATGAACCGAGATAATACGTCTGATGCTATGCCTAGGCAGCTGAATGAGCCAGAACCGCAATATATGCATCAACTGAACGTCGGGTCATGTTTCAGCATCAGTAAAGCAACAATTCTTCAACACTTGAAAGATGTGTTTAAGCAGATGGTGGAACATATAGAGGATCAAGAAGAGAAGCATGAAGTTACTACCATGTTACATAAGTATTATAAAATCTTTGATACAACAAAATTAAATATTTCTAATTTAAAAGCACCACCAATGATCAATACAGGTGACAATCCACCGATTAGTTCAAGGGCGTATCGTACTGATCAACACCGAGGACAACTTATATCCAGGACAGTTAACGAAATGGTACAAGCTGGTCAAGTTAAACGATCATACTCATCGTGGTCGTCTCCGGTGTTACTCGTTAAGAAAAAAGACGACACATTTTGTTTCGTTATTGATTATCGACGACTTAATGAGATTACGGCAAAAGATTGTTACCCTCTACCGGATATAAAGGATACATTAAATCGTCTAAATGACAGCAATTATTTTTCAAAATTTGATTTAAAAACGGGGTATCACCAGATACAAATGGATGAATCCGATAAGAAAAAGGCAACGTTCGTACTTCACGATGGCATATATGAACCACAGATTATGACGATGGGCTTAAAAAAATGCTCCATCGAGTTTTCAACGAATCATGTACCAATTAATTGTGAACACTCGATGGGATCATTCCCTTGTGTATATCGACGATATTATATTATGCTCTCGGACATTCAGGGAACATATTCATCATATCGAAGAACTGTATTTAATATTAGAGCATGCTAAACTGACATTAAACCCACCAAAATGCTCCATTGTACAAACGGAAATCAGTTACTTAGGTCATACGATCAACAGATATGGGGTGAAACCTCTTGCCGAAAATGTCGAAGCGATCGTCAAGATTAAAATGCCGACTTCAGCTAAGGACGTCCATTCCTTTGTGCAAGCAGCCAATTACTACCGCGACCATATTCCAAATTTTGCCAAGATAGCTGCACCGTTGTATAAATTCACCAAGAAAAACGCTCAATTTCATCCTGGTGTATGGACGGACAAAGAAAAACAAGCATTTAACGATCTGAAAATAGCACTAACAACATCACCGTTAATGCTCGACTTTCCAGATGAATCATCAATGGTATTGTCGACAGATGCATCTGGTATCGGCATGGATGGTGTGCTCCGTCAAATGACACCAGATGGTCCAAAGGTCATAAAATATTTATCGAAGAAGTTTAACCATGCTCAAACAAGATATTCAACAACAGAGAAGGAATGCTTAGGCATGGTATGGTGCATTAATAAGTTGAAAGAATATTTATGGGGCAGATCGTTTACGGTGGAGACGGATCATTGTCCTCTGTGTACCTTCCATTGTAACGATTCAACAATAGTCGTATTGATCGATGGTCGGTAGAATTATCTGAATATGATATTAAAGAGATTAGGTATAAGAAGGGAAAATGCAATTGCGACGCTGATTTATTATCAAGATACCCTGTTGTTTCGTCAGACGAAGAAGAAAATGTGCAAAGTCAACAGACATCGTCATCACAACACCATGGATTAACGACAAGAAAATTTCAACAAGACGAGATTCAAATCAATGCCGTTGCACGATCGAAACTACGATCATTACGTTCATTAACATCAAACATACCAACGTCTTCGAATTCTACTCCCACCAGAAATGTTGTTACAATCCCATCATCGAACGTTATCCAAACAAGATCAAGAACGAAGAAGAACTCGCCTGGCATTAGGCCTGATGAGTTGACTACGACATCATTAAATTCGCCCTTACAAGATTCACCTATTTTTTCGACACCCAGAACTTCCACAACAGTAACAAGTAGAGCACCGTTGATTGATTTTAGTCTTATAAGAATCAGGAACGAACAACAGCATGATCAAGTTATTACTCATGAAATTAAACAAATTCTGCACATTCCGAGTAGGCATTCGTCAGACATCGTACAAGATGGCATGCTGTATACTGCAGTAAAGATCAAACTACCATGGATTTCCATCATCCTTGCGACTGGAAATATTATTCGCATATCATGACCACCCATAAGGTGGCCATTTCGGGGTGAAACGAACATATTGTAAAATAAAAGATCACTTTTATTGGCCAAAAATGTATAATTATGTCGAACAATATATTCGCTCATGTCGGCAATGCGCAAGATTCAATATCAAACGACGAAAATGCCCAGGGCTCGTACAAATTCAGTCGCCACCAGAAGGTGTTTTCGAGGTGATGCAGATGGGTTTCTGGCAAGCTCCCATTCGATCGTTAAGTGGCAATCAGTATGTGTTAGTCGTTACCGATCGTCTTTCGAAATACGTATTCGCCAAGGCATTTTTTTACTCAGTGAATCGGCCAAGGATGCCACAGAAATGCTATACGAAGATATTATTCTGAATCATGGAGCAATTAAGTATTTACATTCAGATTGCGGTACTCATTTTAAAAACGAGTTAGTGAATGCACTGACAACATTAATTGGTTGTAAACAATCATTTTCTGTTCCATACCACCCGATGTCGAATGGTCAAGTGGAGAGATTCAACGCTACGTTTTGTGATCAATTGAAGAAATACAATGATGGCAACCTTAACGATTGGGACGAATATTTTCAGTCAATTGTTCTGGCTTATAATTCAGGTGTTCATGCGACCACCGGATACACGCCATACGAATTAGCCTTCACACGGAAATTGATTTCTCCGTTCTTTCCTCAATCTACAACTGTTTCACTTCACAAGCCACATGACTATTGGGAAAAAGCAATTAGATTTAAGAAGCTTGTTCTCCAAGCCGCTCATAGCAACATTAAACATCAACAAATGCTGTATAAACACCGTTATGATCAAGGAAGAGTCCATCCAATGTATCATGTGGACGATTTAATATGGATTAAGGTATTGCCTTCACGATCAAAACTGGATGAACGGTATCATGGACCGTTTAGAGTGATTCAGAAATTAAGTGAAGTTCATTACTAAGTGGAGCATATGGAGGAACACTACCAATGAGAGACTCATACTAATGATATGAGTCCCTTCTATAAACGTTGAGGTTCAGTTGCTGTTCAGTCTTCAGATATTTAGTGTTGCTAATGATGGTATCGAAAATGGTCGTTGTTTAAGTTTAGAAGTGATAATATTTAATATTTACTGTTATTACCTCAAATAATAATTTATTAGGTGATAACGGATGTTTATAGATGGATGTTATACTTATAATGCGGTTCAGATGATAATGAAGTATGCTTCTTAGGCAGATAGACTGAACACTTAGTTCATGGTAATACACGTTCTTCTATATGGACTATGGCTAACAATTGTTTAATGGCTATAAAAGACGGTTGAATAAAGCTATCTGACATGCGTATTGGGTGTATTTATTGAGTGACGAAACCTATGATGGAGTGTACATACATTATTTTTGACTCTCACAAATGAGTGCATGTAGCATTTGCAACCAGCAAAAGTGCCGAACGTGACTTAACAATATGATTAGCATCAATTAACAGTTAAAAGTGGCAGTATATTAATTAGTGGCATGATAACTGAATACAACAACTTACTAGGTGATCCTCAAGTGGCAATTGAACATTAGGTTAAATGTTATTTGGGCAGAGTAAAATGCTTGTTTCTAGCTGGGAGGAAGGAAATAATTAGTTGGCATTCGATGAGCGGATGGAACGCTCATCTGGCCGAAGAGGGGAGGTGTTAGGCAGTAACATCTTTTAGTCGTTCCTCTATTTAATCTTCTCTTTCCTTCGCTGCCGAGATGTTTTATTTTAGTTGACTGAATCTGACTCGTTGCTGACGTGCCTTTAAGGCTCGTTTTCCATCGTTCGCTCTGCTA